GCAGGTGATGTGAATTCTGCACAGATTTGTGAAAACAACGTATTAAATCCTGTTTAGCCCTTTATAAACAGTGACAGCGAATGACTATACACACGATTTTGTGCGTGGTGTGTATGCATGCGTGTGTGACGCTGTGTGCGTGTGTGTGTGAGCTTTGGAAGCGTTCATAGATGTGTTAGATGAGTGTTGGAAAATCGTTGTGTGTGTGTGTGTGTGTGTCGTGTGACTGTGGTTTGACTGTGTGACTGTGTGTGTGTGGTGTGTGGTGTGTGTGTGTGGTGTGTGTGTGTGTGGGTGGTGTGTGTTTGTGTGGTGTGTGTGTGTGCGTGTGCGGTGTGCGTGTGTGTGTGTGCAGCCCGCGTTGGTGGGTGGCGTGACTGTGTGTGTGTGGTGTGTGTGGACTGTGTGGTGTGTGTGTGTGGTGTGTGTGTGTGTGTGTGTGGTGTGTGTGTGTCCTAAAACATAGGCATTGTATCACGCGAGCTGATGGAGTTTGTGTGTGTTCACCTCTCTCAGTGTGTGTGTTCACCTTCTCAGAAGTGTGTGTTCACCTCTCGCTCAGAGTGCCGTGAGCGCGTCGAAGGGTGTGTGTGACCTGTGCCTCAGAGTGTGGTGTGTTCCGATCATGGTCAGGAAAACAAAGAGTCGTTTGCTTACAGAGGGTCCTCTCTGCTGTGTGTCGGAGTAATCAGGAAGTCGAGCAGCGTCTGAGGAGATAGCATCAGGTCACCACAGCCAAGTCCCATCAGCTGCCGGTGATAAGATGCCTATTTTTAGAGCACACACACACGCGCTGGAGCCACACACCACACACAGGCCGACAGCCACACACACACTGACACACACAGCAACACACACACACACACAGTCACCGACCACACACACACACACACAACGCCACGACGCACACGCGGACACACACAACACACCACACACTGACACACACACACACACACCACGACACAGCGACACACACACCCAACACACACACGACACACAGTCACACCTGAGGTCACACAGTGTCAGCACACATCACACACACCCAACACACACAAAGATTTGTCCCGGAGAGCGCGGTGCTCTCCGGAGTAAGGGTAGGCTCTGCATGAACTGCCTCGGCGCGCTCGCAAAGCTCCGACACACACACGCACACAGTCACACGGGCCATTGCATCACACAGCGCACAGTAAATCTGGGCTGTATAGTTTCTGTCGCTGGTCACTGTGGGTATAAAGTGGTAAAACGAGGATTTTAATACGTTGTTCAAAGATCTGTGCAGAATTCATCATGCGTCAGTAAACCCCCACCCCCCACCCCCCAGAGTATAGTTGAAAATAAGTATTGCTGCTTTTACTTAATTAAAAAAAGGACCCTGCACTCTGCCTTGCTTGTTCTCAGGATAAATAAGGAGATGTGCTGCATTCAGTTTCTCATTACAGGCCGATGTGGAGTCATCACTGAAACGACGGCCGACGTGGTTGCCAGAGGAAGGGATACATAAGCGGCCTCGTCTCCTCAGACGTGTGTGTGTTCACCTCTCTCAGAGTGTGTGTGTTCACCTCTCTCGAGGTGTGTGTTCACTCTCTCTCAGAGTGTGTGTTCCACCTCTCCTTAGAGTGTGTGTGTTCACCTCTCCTCAGAGTGTCGTGTTCACCTCTTGCCTCAGTGTGTGCGTTCACTCTCCTCAGAGTGTTTGTGTTCACTCTCCTCAGGTGTGTGTGTTCACCTCTCCTCAGGAGTTGTGTGTTCACCTGCTCCTCAGAGTGTGTGTGTTCCACCTCTCCTCAGGAGTGTGTGTGGTCACCCTGTGCCTGGTAGAATGTGTGTGTTCACCTCTCCTCAGAGTGTGTGTGTCTATCTGCTCCTCGGAGTAGTGTGTGCTTCGACGCTGTGCCTCAGAGTGTGTGTGTTCACCGGTCTCTCAGTGGTGGTGTCACCTCCTCCTCAGTGTGGTGCGGTGCTCGTCAGTAGGTGGGGGGTGTGTGGTCACGCGTCTCGCTGCGAGTGTGGTGTGTGATAGCGGGCGTCGTCCGTCGGAGGGTGTGGTTCAGCGTCTCCTCGAGGTGTGTGTCATGCCGGGGTGCTCTGCTCAGGTGTGTGTTCACGCGGTGTGGATGCGGCTCAGAGTGGTGTGTGAGCCGTCTCGCTCAAGTGGTGTGTGTTGCGGTCTAGTGGCTCGAGAGAGGGTGAGCGAGGTCAGTTGCTTGACCAGAGGATATGGGGTGGGTGGTGGTGGGGGTTGGTGGTGTGTGTGGTGGTGTGGGGTGGGGGCGGGCGGTTGCATTCTGTGTGTGTCAGTAAATCAGAAGCAGAGCAGGGTGGGAGGGGGGTTGCTCTTGTATGCATTTCAGTCACTTGCAGGGCCATTTTCAATATTTAAAAAAATACGATTGCCACTTGACATAGTGTACCAGACATCAAAAAAGATAGATTGTTGGTACAGAGTTGGTTACCTTTTTAGAAGACTTAAAATGTGTTTTAAGGATCATAGCAATTCATAAGATTGCTTTTACTAGTATTTGGCATGTTTCTTAACGGGAAATTGAGTTTTTTTAAGGATAACTACAGCTTTTATAATGATTTGTCAAAAGTTCTAATGATTTGTCAAAAGTTCTAATTAGTTCTAATTCTAAGTTCTAATTGAACTATTTTAGCAATTCAATTATGTGTACACATTAATGCATCTGTAATATATTTCCAATAATGTAATATAGTCTATTCTAGTATAACAATAATGTTAAATATGTTCTTTTTTGAGATATAGCATCAGAAATCTTGAAGACAGTTATCTTAAAACTGCTAGATACCACTTGGAAAGCAAGACATTTTACTTTCATGCATGGACTGCCTCTTCATAGCATGTTTGCTTTCTGTTTACCAGCCATTGTCTATGTTCGAGACACGACTCGCGGAGGGCTTTGCTCCTTGCCGATCTTCAACAATGGCATCAACGGGGCGTTCTGCAGAACAGAGGCAGGCCAGACGGCAGCCATTATCTTCCTGTTTGTCACCCTGATTGTTTATCTGATCGGAGCCATGGTGTGTCTCAAGCTGTGGAGACATGAAGCTGCACGCAGATACCGGGAGAAATACGGCGAGGAGGAGGTGAGAGCTCTGACACTTTAATTATTTATTCAGTTTGAAGGGTTGGGACATGGGTTTCGTCTGACAGTTAATGATTAATCCAACACTATCTACCATTCACTATAATGAGTTAACAGACAGGCTGCAAACATGTTCACACACGCACGCGCACACACACACACACGCACACGCACTGCATTACAACAACACACCATATCATTTGCATACAGGGCTACAGCTGTGGAGGAAGGAGTAGGCGGAGTCAGTGAGTCCTACCTGTTTATTGGAGGGCAACACACTGCACACAGTCACACACACATTCTGATTCAACAACACTAGGTTTGAGATCCACATATAAAACTTCTTTTGGGTTACTTGTTATTTGTTTTGTTTTGATGTGTTAAAAGAATATCTATTTGATTTATTGCAGAAAGTAAGATGAGAAGATTGATATCTCTCCTGTGTCACTAAAATACTTTAGCCAGGACATTGCTAGCTAAACCTAGCTAGACTGAATTAAGGGGTAAAAGCTTACCTTGCTCTATCTAAAAGTAAAACAATCTGTCAATTGAAGCTCACTGCTCTTGGCCAGGCAACAGTCCACCACATACCCTCTTGTAAAACCACAGGATGATGTTTTTAAATGTTGTTTTCTTCCAAATATACAAACAATAACATGTGTATCAATGAGCTTTAAAGATGTTGTTGGGTGGACAGAGCCAGCCTGACAATAGCTTCCTATGTGGCGGACGAGAGAGATATCTTATTTTTTATCAAGCTCTGCAAGAAAGCAACACAAAGTGTATTTCCCCAAATGTCTCTACTATCCCTTTAAATGGTAAGACATCATTAAAAGCCTAATGTTAACTGGATTCTATTTGTGTATGTTTTACACACAGATGCGTCCCTCGGACATAAGAGCTACACACTCATTGGTAAGCCTCCTGTAATTAGTTTTATTGTAAAGAGACATACTCACGTTTGTGTTTATTTAAACGTGAAAGTTGCTCCTCTTTTAATTCAATCTTTACAATCCTTTTGTCATAGCTGTGTTTGTCCTGTTTTGTCTCTGCAGATGGTTCCAGATTCAGCTCCCATTCCCAAAGCTCCAGAGCAGGTGCGAGGCTCCTCAGTGGTTCCCATCCACGCCGCTCCTAAAGCCATCCCACCTCACATTCTGCAGGGAGCTATACCATCAGGACACATCCCAAAACCTGTCATCGTGCCTGACTACATTGGGTAAGCTCTGCTCAAGATAAAAGCAAAGACAAGTAGGTGCAATATGTGGGTTGCTATGTTGGTTAAATAACAACTGTATGTCCGGCTTTGCCTAACATACATACAGTTTACCAACGTTAATAAAGACTTGTTCTCTTCTTCCGTCCTGCAGTAAGTACCCGACGATCCGCTCAGAGGAGGAGAAGGACCAGTACCGAGCCGTGTTCAATGACCAGTACGCAGAGTACAAGGAGCTCCACGCGGAGGTGCAGGTCACCGCCAAGAAGTTTGACGAGATGGACGCCATGATGCGCAGTCTGCCCCAGAACCCTTCCACCCAGATGGTGAGTGTTTACTCACTCAGAATACAATCGTGTTTTTCACTCAATAGTCAATCAGAACTCCTTTATCAGATTCTATCTGTACTCTATCTTCCAAAAATGTAGATGCCATTTTTTTTAATCGCATGGGACTGTTTGTGCATTTATTCTATCTGCAGTCATGTATTGTCTTCAGTTTTTTGGTCTTTTTGTTTTCAGATAGAAATGCTATTTAGAGGTACATTTTCCAATGAATTTAATAAATCATAAAGACTTTAGAGATGCTGATCACACATTGTTGTACAAAGTAAAGTGCACACTAGACACTTTATTTTGTCAAAAATCAAAGCTAAGATACAGTTTCCTTTAGTTATTTTTTTTGTAAAATATGTTTTACTCTTATATCAGAAGATGCGTTCCTTGTTTTGTACAGTGTATTTATATTTCAACATTTTACATTCTGCAGAAAGTTTCAAACAAACCACACTGCCCAGAAATGATCTCAAAGGGGTTTCTGAGTTCGGAAACCCTTAAGTGTAGATCATTTTTAACAATGTCTTTGCAAACACTGGAAATCGGCCAACAAATACACATTTGATTGATATTGAGGATTTTTAATCTCACCCAGTTCTCATGTGTGCTCCTGGTAGCCATGCCTTAACAAATGACACACACACTTAGTGCATCATCACACTGGACCTACTTTGCATGGATGAACACAAGTTAACATGAACCCTGCTGGACTGATACCATCAGGGTTTGGTATTATGACAGTGCTGGGAAAATCATTTCTTTCAGAGAATGATTGTGTGTCTGGAATATGCACCCAGTCTTTTTGTTGTTAAAATGTGCCTCATTTCCCCCTCTCATAACTTCCTCTGTTTGCACTTCCTGTTCCTGCTGTACTTCCCCTCCACCCTAACATTTCTTCTCTGCACCATCCACAAGCACCTAGTTGTATTACCTAACTGTACTACTTCATGTATTTCAATCTTTATGGATGACCTTTAATTGAATTCAGTCTCTTGTCTCTGCTTGCAGGAGGTTGATCGCATTAACAGAATCCTTCAGGATTACCAGAAGAAGAAAAATGTGAGCCGATTCTCTTTTTTCGCTGTTTTGTATACAGTGTTGTTCTGCTGCCCATGTTGATATGTTCTTAATAGATACTTAAATCGCTCAAAACACAAGTATGTATTTAGATTATTTTTTTAGATCTCAGTAATTTCTTAAAACAGCTGTTCACTTTAGTTTTTTATCAGACAGAACTAGGTGCATATTTCGGCACTGCTTTCACTCATGGATTAATCCACATTTGGTGCTTTTGTGAGTTGTGTGGCAGCAGGACATTATATGTGATCCGCTCTATCGAAATCAGTCGGAAGTCGCAACGGCTCATTTCAAAATAAACGTGGATTTGCGTAAACAACTAGTTTTTCGGGATTCGGGTGTTTTGTTTGATTTTTAAATAAACAAAGTCTTAGCTTTCAGAATATGAAACTTTTATTTCCAAAATCAAACGATAAATTCATACCAGCTGAAATTATGCATGTAAGGCATATAGTAATCATAGATAACACGGCAAGGTCCATTACAGTTTGTTTTCATCTGATTTCAATTAAACAAAGTCTTGACTTTCAGAATATTAAACTTGTTTCAGCAAATTCAGATGATAAATACAACTTTGAAGCTTGTAACGGCATAATTACAAGCGGAGAACGGAGTAACTTAATGTCACAGCAGGCATAACAACAGCCGGTGTTTCTCGTGAGTGTTTTCCCTGGGAAACAAACACAATACACAAACGCAAAAAGACACAAACACACACACACACACACACACACACACACACACACACACACACACACACACACACTCTCACTCACAAACACACACACACACACACACACACACACACACACACACACACACACACACACACACA